AGTGACATTTTACAAGTTAATGAGAAAATCACTTTACTATTCCTAAAGTGTTAATAGAAGAGGTTTACATGCGTCCTCCTCCGGGTTTTCTTTCTTCCGATCCATGCAAAGTTTCTCGTTTGAAGAAATCTTTGTATGGCCTACGCCAAGCTCCTCGCTGTTGGTTTGGTATGCTTCAGACTGCTCTTTTGGACTATGGTTTCCGTCAGTCAGCTTCTGATTAATCGCTCTTCTCTCTTGTTTGCGGCTCCACTGAAGTTTATCTCCTTGTGTATGTTGATGACTTGGTTATCAGGGGTAATGACTCAGCTTCTATTTCTGCTTTTAAGGCGTATCTTTGTCGCCAGCTTCATATGAAAGATTTGGGCTTCCCGTTACTTTCTTGGTCTCGAGATAGCTCGTAATGCAGAGGGTTTGTATTTATGTCAACGTAAATACTGCTTGGATATTATTACTGAGGCGGGCTTACTAGGATGTCGTACAACTGATATTTCTATGGCTCAAAATCATAGACTTGCTTGTTCTACGGCTGAACCATATGCTGACCCTACTCAAATCGCCGCACTGTTGGTAAATTGATTTATCTCAGCCTTACTCGCCCGAAACTTTGTTACTCTATTCACATTCTCTCTCAGTTTATGAACTCGCCTACTAATGAACATTGGGAAGCTGTGCTTAAAGTCCTTCATTATTTGAAAGGTTCTCTGGGCCAATGTCTTCTTTATTGGGCAAACACGGATTTTATTCTTACAAGCTACTGTGATGCTGACCATGCTGCGTGTCCATTGACGCGTCGTTCGTTGATGGGTTATATTGTCTTTCTTGGAAGTTCTCCTATTACTTGGAAAAAAAAGAAACAGGATACTGTCTCTCTGTCTTCCGCTGAGGCTGAATATCGTTCTATGTCTTGGACTACGAAGGAAGTTAAATGGCTTGTGCCTCTTCTCGATTTTTTTTTTGTGTTGTGCAGCCCACTAGCATATGTATATATATTGTTGTACATCATTAAGCTTCTTAATACACAAGTTTATTCCGCACGTACTTTGACACAGTTCATGTATTTGATGTATCTCTTATGTTCTTGTTGTAATAATTTGTTTCATTTTCGAATTTTACTTTGAAAAGTAAACTTTTTCTATTTCAAATATTAATAACAATATATCTAAAATAACAAACTTGTCCTGATTCAAACTAAATTTAATTATAAATAAGAAAGCAATTGTCATGTTTAAAAATAACATAAAAACAAAATTGTACTATGCAATATCCTCTGTGTACAACCTTCAATTTTCTTGAATACAAATTGATATGAGATGTTGGGAGAATTTTGTTTTTACATTTTTCATTGTTTTTGGTTAAGCATTTATACCACTTGTTTTATGTACATTGTTTACCGTTTAATGTATATACTAAGTAAATCCGTGTTACAATACGAGATTATATTTTTTGATATAATAGTAATAAATAAATAACTTAAACACAAGAAAAAAATGTATTCCCTTACATAGAAAAATAACAGGGTAAGGGGAAAATCTATTTTCTCGTAATCTCTATATTAGTAAAAGAGAAGTACAAAATAGAGTGCGGGTCGGGTCAAGAGTAAAAAATTAACCCGATTTTAATAATTGGATACTTCAAAATTGGATATTAAAATGGGTTTGGATACATACATCGGGTACTTTCCATATTTAATTTTAGGATTATATTATTTTCATAACTAATTTTAGGATTTCCTAATATTTATCTAACTAAATTAATATAATATATTTTAAAAAATTATTATCTTCTTTCACTTTTATTTGATCTTTTTTTTAATTTCTGATATTATATTAAATAATAAAAATGTTTCAAAAAATTTTAACTTTTTTTTTGCATATGCTGCAATTTAAATTTTTTTAAACGGACATATAGTACTCAATTACACTCGGTTTAATATTTTGGACAATGATTTAAAATCACTATAAATATGACCAATATTAAAACCATTGTTACATAAGCATATTTAAAATATTTGTTTTGAGACATAGATGTAAATTTGGAGACATGATTTTTATTGATAAAATATTATATATCAAATTACGTAAATTTTAGATAGTCCACGGGTAGTTTGTTAAAATCACAGTTATAATGGTAAAGCGAGTTATGAATAATGTTTTTTACGATATGAATTCTGTTACGGGTTGGTTCTTCAAAAAATATATTGTAAGTGTATAATTTTTACATCTATTCCTACTTCTATTATAAAAATGGTTAAATTGAACAATTTATCGATAAATATTCTTTTGTGCTGTTAAATTTTCACCCTTTGTTTAATTGTATCAAAACTCAATATATTATTATTTACTCGCTTTTTTCCTTTATTATTTTATCTAAACTTATTATACAAATATATGATTCAATGTAATCGACTGCACTGTAGTAAAATTAAAATGTAATATAATTTAATCCGTTCAATTTTTTTTGATAAAAGGTTAAATAAATTATTTTACAAAATCCGTTAAACATTATATATAAGTAATTATTTCCCCCGCGCTGTAGCGTGGGTCCAAACCTAGTAGTTAAGTAAAAGATAAGATGCTCAAGTAAAACATAAATTAAATATATAAAATCGATAATATATGTAACTAAAAAGTGTTTGCCAGTAGAATTAATAAATAGAAATACCCTAAAACATCACCAAATTATTATTATTTTCTTAATCTAAAAATATGATCAATAATGTTGTCCAAACATATATATCACAACAAAATACAAATTTATGTTCCAAAGAAACCACAAAAAAAAAAAAGAGAAATACCCTCAAATGCCCTAAAAATGATTTCTAATGTAATTTTTTTTTTATTGTTAAGAGTTTAATTTTTAGGGCTAAGAATTTTGTTTAGGTTTATGATTTAATTTTGAATGTTTAAGTTTAGTTTTATAATAATTTTTTGTAGTATTTGTTTGTGACAAATTTTTTCATTTTAATGATACTTTAAAAAAAGAAAAAAAGTGTAAATAATTATGAGCTTGATACAAAATCACCAATAATATTTTTTAATATATAGGGGATTGCATATAATAAACGAACTACAAACATATGAAATATATTACAAAACCTTATTCTTTTGTAGTGTAATTAATTATATAGACTCTTGCCACTGCTATATAAACTCAATAGCCCCTAGTTGAATTTTTCATCCATACATAGCAATACATATATATATTCATCAAAACACCAAAAATGACATCATACAAGCTTCTCTTTCTCATCGTCTTATTGGTGACTCTTTCTTCTTCTATTATGATCAAGCCTTGCTTTGCCTCACGCGGCCTTCTCCAAAATTTGACAGTGACATTCGAGGGTAACCTTACTCAATTGTATACCGAGTTTAACTCGACTACTGAATTGATTGATCCTTGAATTAATAACTTCATGTATTTGATGTATCTCTTATGTTATTGTTGTAATAATTTGTTTCATTGTGATGTGATTTGGTTTGATCCCGCGTGATCTTTGTGTTGGATTTTCATATTTGTTGGATTTTCATATTTGTTGTACTTGTTAAACTTTGTTTTTGTTTCTTTTTTGCAATAACTTATATTATGATAATAAAGGTTTGGTTAACTAAACCGGTAAAACATTGGTTAAATAGAAGATTCCAAGTAATGTATGCACTACGAGGAACAAGATTCCAAGTAAAAGATGAGAACGCCTCCTTACTTTCACCATTTTATTAGGGATGTGAATGCTGGCCATTCTGCTGGCATAGATATCATCTTCACCAAATCGGAAAAGTTTATAAAGAAAATATGTCTTATGTTCAATGATTAGATATCTCATCGCCCAAATTAATGATTCTAGCTCAGAATGTAGTGGAGACATACTCCTACGTAGATTAAATACACTCATAATCGGCGCCTCATCAATTTTCCCAAGAGCCACTAGTAAAACAACGATATTCAGAAAATCTGTGACCTACTCATTCTGTCGAAGTTTTGAAAGGATGATCCTTGATTAGATACTTAGATCCATTTTTAGCGTTGGCCCAAGTTTAAGATTCACTCTCCGCCAATAGAAGGACGTCACAAGGATCTTGATCCCTATTTACATAAATCTTTTCATACATATATATATATATATATATATATATATTTGAATGTAATGTTAAATTATATTCAGAATAAAAATAACGACTTTAGAACTAGTGCTACACTTTCTTATAACAATAGAGCAAAAAAACTTTTGAACTCTAACTCATAATATTAAGTGCGAGATTGTAACCACAGTTGAAAGCCATCGTCAGATTTTTTTTTCAAAAACAAATGTATATAACCGTAAAATCGTTTAGAAAAAATAAATTTATCTGGAATAAAGACTGCATTGCATATTATTTTTGACTTAATATGATTGTTTTGCATACATTTTTTAGATATGGAAGATAAAATTACAAAAGTTGACGACTTTAAGGGTTTATTTGCACAAAAATCAATATATATATATATATATATATATATATATATATATATATTTGTACTAGAACATAATCATTAGAAGTTTAATAAAGTATAATCTGAATACAGACAAAACAACCTGGTCATGGAAACTTATGTATAGTCAAATCTGCATTATCCATGACTTAATAAAGGGAGAAAAGCTCCACAATTTGAGAATTTGTTTATTAATATCTATTTCATATTATTCTCGTTTTTTTTAAAAAAAATTTCGTTTGAAGCATTACGATGAAGATATCATTTGAACGACATATAATAAATCAATTTGGACCGCGTTGAAATTCTAAACCAGTTGGGTATTGGCTGTCATGTTTGATTATCTATCTTTTTAATCTTTGCTTATTTGACTGTATGATCAATGATACGTACTTATCATATAATACATATTAATTAACATATATATGTGATGCAACGTCATGGTTACATTCTTTTTGTAATTTCAATCTTCATTGTTGCCTATATCTTTGTATAAAACCAAATCCATTTAGAGTAGTGAAACTTTCTAATAAGATATTTTCTAGTTCATTCTTCACAAGAAATTTCATGGGTTTACACACTGAATCTCCTGACCGTGTAACACAAGGTATGTGTATATTCATATTACAAGTTTTGATTTATACAAGTTGTATTCTTAATGTGAAGTACACGTCTGTGTTTTTTGTTGGTTTCAATTTCAAGAAGAAGAAGAAGCTAATATAGGAGTTGAGAATCAACCAAGAGCAATTCTTGATAGGTCACAACTTCTCAAGACGCGACACTGGTGGATATGTATCTTTGTCTGTTCCGGTTTGGTCGTAGCAGGACGTGTTTTATCAACACTTCTTCTTAACTTCTACTTCATCCAAACAGGGAGAGATGTTTGTGATGACCCTAAACAGTTTAAAGGCACATGGCTTCAGTCTTTTGTCCAAAACGCTGCGTTTCCATTCACAGCTTTGCTTCTTCTCTTATGGCGTTCTTTGTTCTCTACTCATAGAGAAGAAACTCAATCTTCTTCTTCTTCTTCTTCTTATTCATCTTTTGGCAAACTCTTTCTTCTTTACATCTCTCTTGGTGTCCTCTTTGCTGCTTATAGCCAACTCTATGCAATTGGGAGAACACATTGTGTGTTCTTCTTTTGGATCTTTACAACACAATTAATCTCCACTTCTATATTTACAGCAATCATCAACAAACATAAATTCAACCTTTGGATCATATTATCTATTGTTCTTTGTGGGTTTGCCACGGGAATTACATCTTCTGATGATGCTTATTATCCTTGCGAAGGTGAAGGCTCAAGAATGAGTGAAGGTGCTTGGTGTGCCTTCTTTGGCACGGTTGCTTTCTCTTTATCTCTTTGTATCATGCAATTAGGGTTTCAAAAGGTCATACCTAACACAAACAGCAGAGTATCCGCGGTGATGCTGATGCAAACCAACGCTTCTATGGTTGCAACATTGATATGTTTGGTTGGATTATTCATAAGTGGTGAATTCAAAGATATCAAGGAAGATTTCGAGACGTTTAAAAATGGGAAACCGCTTTACGTTTTGAGTCTTATCGGATTATCACTTGTGTGGCAAGTAATGTCTTTAGGGCTTGTGGGTCTTGTTTGTTTAGCGTCTTCACTCTTCTCTAATGTCGTCAGCTTCTCTGCTTCCCCTTTAGCTAACATATTCGTTGTGTTGGCGTTTTCGTTTATGGATGATGATGTTGACTGGTTTAAGGGAGGAGCTTTGTTAGCAGGGATCCTTGGGTTTGCATCTTATATATACTCCTTGTACAAGGCTACTAAGAAAACAGAATTAGCAAACCAAAGTGAAACAGAGAGAGAGTGTGATTGATGATATGTGTATATTGTGATGCTATTGTATTTGATGTGATTAAGTAACAGTGTTTAAATATTTCATTCAGTTTTCAAATTTTGGTTTGAACTATATAGAATTTGTGTAATGAATTTGGTTGAAATTTGCATTCTTTTTATACAAAATTCTACCAATAATCTCCACAAGAGCAGCTACCATCTCTAAAATGATGAAACCTCTTGTTATCTCTTACAATGATCTCTCTATCTTCAATGCTTGATAATATCTTTATGAAGTTATGGCAATCTCCGCATATCCTCAGATTCTTCATCACCCTTATCGTAGTCCCTGGAGGCGTGTTTATAAGCCCGAAAGCAATAGCTAACCGTTCACTGTGATGCATCAATGCTTTCTCTTTAGCTTCTTCGTCGATATCATGAAGAACATACTTCGTCTCTGGTACATAGCCTGCATCTCTCGCTTCTTTCCCTAAAGATTTCAGCTTTATGTAGGCCTTGCTTCTATCTGCAATAGCTTTCTTCTCACCTGAAATCTCTGGCTTATCTCCTCTAACCTTTGTTGAATGACTAGAAGGTGAGATATGTCGTAAAGTAGTATCTTTATGTACATTGTTTCTTACTGCCGAACCTGGATTGATTTTGTTGCCGTCTTCCACTCCTCTTGCTGTTACTCTGCCTACATTCCAAGTATCTAACTTTCTTTGAGGCAGTTTTTCAAATACTTTGTGAGCAGTTTCCTTGACTTGGGTCTCAACTCCATCAGAGCTTATCCTTTTCTCAGGTTCGAAAAAGCTTTGAACTTGACCTTCACCAGCAACTCCCTTTGCTCTTGGGATGATTCGTTGAAAAGATGAAGTTTCTCTATCAAAGGGGATTGCTTTAGGGACAGGGAAGGAGCAAAAACTCATGGAGAAGGCAGCTTCCAGTGTCATCCCTTTGTGGTCAATCCCAGAAGCAGATAAGTTTTCTTTGGAGAGGAATACACTGTGTGGAGAGAGACATAGAGAGACCAATCTCTACAAGAAACAGACAACTTCACAAACAGCCAATAATAACCTCTGTCTAGGTCCACAAAATTTCCTGCAGAACCATGTAAACCACTTGTTAGCTAAGTCACTATATATCCAATGAAAGATTAAAACCCTTTGATCAAGAATCACAAACGCTAATTTGGAAAACATGATTAAGAATGTAAGGATTTTTTGTACCATTGACACAAATCCTTTAGCTTTCCAGTTTGAATACTGTTTGCTTTTCAATTTGAAGCTGGAAAACTTCAGAGAATTCCTTTAGTAACGACTCATGAGCTACATCTAACAACTTCAAATCGTCGAGCTTAGTATAAGACATGTCCCTATTTACGTCTTCTCCATCCTTAATCAAACCCTTTACACTTCCAACACCGCGGTTTCTTATCCCACATGGAACTATTGAGTCAAAGGGTGTTAAATCTGTTGTGACATTAAGAGCTAGACCATGATATGTCATCCATTTCGACACACGGATACCTATCGCCGCCACTTTTTGGTTGCCTATATCGAAACGGATCAAACAAGAACACATATATATGTATTAGATTTAGATCAAATCACATCAAGAAGTAAAACAAAGAGTGGGCAATTCAGAGACATACCAACCCAAACTCCAGTTAAACCGTCAAGACGAGAAGCTTTGATAGAGAAAGCCGAGTAAAGAACACGAATGACTACTTCCTCAAGCTTCCTAAGGTACCAATGAAGATCCATCTTGTGATTCCGGAGATTGATTATAGGATACATAACTAGCTACAATTCTCAGACAATCACATTCACATTAACATTCATTGTTGATGAAGTTGTGAGAAAACAAAGGAGATTGAATGTGTTTTACCTGACCAGGTCCATGGTAAGTGACTTCACCGCCACGTTCAGTTCGATATACATCAAAAGGAGCATCCTTTACATCAAAATTGAGATAATCCTCTGAACTTCCAGTTCCCATTGTGTAAACAGGAGGATGTTGTAATAAAATCACTGTATCTGGGCAGTCTTGGTTTCTATCAATCAGAGCTTTTTTCTCATTTACAATGCTTTTTTGCCATGACCAAGCTTTCTTGTATGGAACCAATTGATCATAGAGATCAAAACACTCGCACCTGTCAAAAACAGAGTATGTTATATGCATTGATAGCAAAATGCACGGAACCTATTCAATAAAATTACTCAGAGACAAAGATTGAAATAAAGAACTTTACTTTCTTGGGTTTTTGTGATTCTCTGAGTTTATCATCTTGACAGATGTTGATGCTCTGTTTCTGTTGAAGTCACTAAGATGGTGATGATGGAGCTTTGGGTACAAAACAGAGCTTGTTGCAACGGAAAAAATCATGTCTTTTGAGATAAAGTATTAAACTTTACTTAGAAATTTCGAAGAAGCAGAAGATTCAATGTTTTCTTGGAGATAGGTAATGGCGGAGACAACGATGAAACACTGAAGGTAGTTTCGGGAAATGAGAACATTGTTAGGGCTAATTTGGTCTTTTCAGCATGAGGTTTTGCCCTAATTTCTGGGTTTACTATATATACATAGAAACTGCATCGATGAGAATTGTATTCAGAAACACAAAAGTCTTTTTAAGTTTCGTTTCCTGAAAATTATGTTTTGTAATGAAAAAATCGATTTTTATAAACTTACAAATTCTTTTGTTTGTGATTTTTTTCCGGTGATTTCAATTTCTGTTGATGTTTCTTTGAGAACAATAGAAAAAAAAAAACAGTGGCGGTGATGAAGAAAAAATGACCTTTTATCTCATGAGTGAGATTATTAATCTCGTGATTACCTTTCAAGCACTTCTGAGCCATGTTTTTGTTTAATCCTTAACTCATTTTGTTAAAATCTTTTTCTGTGTTTCGTAATTTCAATCCAGATTAAAATTTGATCTTATACATTATGTGGTTTTAATCAATAAATCGATTGTTTTTGCTAGTAAAGTAAAACAAGTTTAAAAGTTGAAAAAATTCAGTGGCGGCGCAAATTAGGGTTTTAGATGTCATGAGCAAGAAGACGATACGTGCTTTGTTATAAACAATATTACAGAATAAAGGATCAAGACAATTAGGTTCCAAGATGATTTAGACCTCGGACGAGTAAAATAAATGGTCAAGACAACAAATTAGGTTTAAGCATCTCTAATTGTGTTTTAGCATTGATCTAATCATCCGAGGTCTGGTAAAATAATTGATCTAAGACAATTAGGTTTTAGCATTTCAAATTGTGTTTAAGCATTGTTTATCCTCCTAAGAAAACATCAGTTGATTCATTAAGTTCAACTTCCATAAGTCAATAAGTAGATCTTAGTGTAACTAATCCCCAAATATAACCAAAAAGCTGTTGACAGAAGAAGATGAAAGATGAAACTAAAAGTGATGGTTCCCTCTGGTAGGACGACAAACATGGTTACGTTTACGAGCATGATCTTCGTTGTGGTGTTGTGTCCTACATGCGTATCCATACCAACAATCTTCCCTCGCTGCTACATCCTCGGGCAAATGATTTCTCGGTAGTGTTATCCGGAACCAGTATAAGAGGAATCCCACCAGCTTATCATAACAGTCACTACACGTATAAGATAAAACACACAATCACAATCGAAAGAAACTTGAGGACGTTTGATACAGAAGAGTATTCACCCTAGACCACGGTAACTTACTTGCAAACATGTGTTGATGCAGTAATCATTTCAGCGTGATTGAGAGGCATTCTCGAGCGGTCTGAATAAAAAGACATCATTACAACTCAATAAGTAAGACATGAGGAAATCAAGAATGATAAGACATATTTGCTTGTGGAGCTCAAGTTCAGTTGTTTTTAATGTCTAACGTTTCTTAATGTTGAGAATCTTGAGATTACCGATTTCTCTATTGCTGAAGCGCGTTAACCACTCTGCTACAACATCCGGCACAGTTTTTCCCATCTGGACAATGCATCTTTGGGTTATCTACAAAACCCACAGAGAATGTCACCAAACATGTGAGACAAATCAGTAGTTTGTTAAGAGAAATTAACTCCTTACATCTTGTTCATGGCGATTCATTTCATGGGTTATGAATGGAATCCTTGTGACCGTGCGTTCCGAGATCTGCAAATATTGGTAAGAAATAATGAGAAAAGAGAGGAACAAATTTTTAAATACACTATGACCATAGTATCATGCAAGCAACTGGAGCAGAAGGGAAACCAGTAGGTAAATCACGAAAACTCACGAAAATAACGAAACTATCATAATCATATTATTCCTAAATACAGTGAAAATTTTCATTGCAATACCTCATAGATACAAAAGAAAAGGTAAGATCACGTAAAAGCTTAAGGATATTAGTCTTAACTAAATCACTTTAATCTTACACACAACATACAGCAGTATCAACATAACTAACATGAGTAAACATTGGACAATCCTAGCTCAACCTACAGGTCTGAAAGTTTCGCCACTGCAGACTGGATTAGATACACCTTGTGTAACATTTTCGGAACTCCAGTAAGCACCACAAAACGGCCTATCGCATCCCTTGCCTGCAATAAACAAGCGTTAAGTGTGTATATATAATATTGTCAGAGATTCCTTTCCTCTGAACAGGTTAATATTAGTATAGTTACCATCAATCCAACCTTGCAATATCCAGCTCTCAAAACAGAAAAAAATTCTACTCTGTTTCTACCAGCACCCCAATGTTTTTTTTAACCCAGTTTATCAGACAACATATACAATATATCAGTATAAAGCATGGTTACCAACAGGACATACAGCATCCATTCACATGATACTAATTTCCTAACAGAGCAAATGAAAGCAACAACAAAAATAAACTTCCAATATCAAGAGGGGGAATAAAAATCGCAACCAGTCTAACTGTGAACAAAGCAAATAAAGAAGCATGTATTTGTCACTTACAGTGTAATGGCACTTGGAGATTGGCTCTGAAGGGCATCATTCCTTGACACAGGTGGCATTGCAGATGTGCACCATGGTTTTCACACCGATAACCACCAATATTAGCAACTGACAACAGAGCCAATGACATACAAAAATAGATCAGCTTCCAGAAGACAGTAATGCTGAGATAAAAGACAGCGTTTTTTGTTTGAACTTCTAGCCCTCTTCTATTTAAGATTTCCCTTTTCTCAAGTACAATTATTCTTTACTAGGACTGGACTCTATTTATTTGTTGGTTTCTTTTGAATCAATTTACCCTTGGTGAATTAGGAGAATAGCAAAAAGAGAGATCTGAGAAATGGGTTTCAAGTTCTAGTCTCAAAATCAAAATTTCTTTGCCATCAACAAAATTTGTACCACATTTCAGGGCCTTATGGTACAGGTAATTCAAAAGTTCAATACATTAGAAGATTTACAATAAAACGATTGTTGTTGTGAAGACTGACAAAGAAGTTTAGCAACATTAAAGGAAATCTAGCTTATGAGGGATGATATCACAAATATCCACAGTCAAGTCCACTACATATAATCTTCTAGAAAACTTCTAGTCAATTACTAGTTACAACTTACTAACTAGTAAATATTCTAATTCACCTCCTCCCCAAGGAACCAATGTTAATAAGCAGTCTAATGAATGATGAATATTGATATATTGTGAGAATATAAGAAGCAAACATCCAGATAAATTAATATTACCACATTGTGGGCATTGCAAACGCAAGCTATCTCTTTCTTCAACTGGGGGTGAGGGCATATTCGAACGACGTTTTCTCTTGCTCCCAATTATCTAAAAGTTATGTCAATTGTAGTGTTTAAGAAAGAATCACAGGTACATTAGACCACGGCATGTTTAAGAAATGTTAATGATTTATTGGTGACTTGCACCAAAAAGTCAATGTGCAGCAGACAGATTCACCTTGGTAAAAGAAAGGCTTTACATATTTCAAAAATAGTTACTTAATAGAAGATATTGCAGAAAATACTTACAAGATTTGATTGTATCGATGCAGATGAGTCCAATACTGCAATATCTTCAGCTGGCCGCCTCAGTGCAGCATCCGCATTTAATATATCCTAACATAAGAGGGTCTGAAATAGTCATAAGAAGCTCAAGCGTAAATGAAGCACAAGAATATATGAAACAATTTCTCGAGGAGAAGAATTACCAATAGAAAGAACATTTATATGTAAAATGTAAATGAAGAAAATGCTTGAAGTGAACAGATAATTCTACCTCTTGTATGTTTTTGAGAAAATGATTTTTCCCCACATATTGTACTGTTGTTCTGCATTGTGGACATAACACATGTTGATGCTTTGCCTTCGATCTCCGCATCCATTCTGAAAAACAGCCATTACTGAAGGCAGAACACATCAACCATTAAGTACAAATAGAGTGAATTACGCCATCATAAAAATGAGAACAAACAAAAAAAACATCAACAAGTTGCAGACCAGAAATTATGAAGGCAAGGTGCAGCTGTGACAACATCATGCCATATGTTTAAGCAGATACTGCATTTTGCATGTTCAGGATCTATGGAAATCTGGAAAAGAAATTCAAAGTGAGAGATAAGAAATTTCACATAAATTTTCAAAAATGTATTCTTATGGACTATGAGTAAATATCATAAAGCACCTTTAACAGCTGGGTTCTGGATTCTGGAGTAGGCATTATTGTAAATCTGTACTGCAAGTACCCTAACAAATTGAGAAAAAAAATCAAATTTAAAATATAGAAGTTTATTTTCTTAAACATAACTTCAGAAACAAAGAAATCCAGACAAATAGTAACTTGAAATAAACTCTGGAACTTCAGCTTCCTTATGAGAGGCTCAGAACTACTTAAATGACAATGTAACAAGTTATTTTTATTTTTTAAGCATAGTAATTCATTGTCCTCGACTAATTATCCATATCATATTCTGGATAATAACAAATAGGCTTTAAGAAACAAACTCATCACTGGGAGAGATAAAAATGCAAGCAGCAGGTCTAACCTTGTTCTCCAGGGCCAGGAACAATTTCAGATCCACACCTGATATCGGCAGCACCACCTTTCGCGATAACAGCCTCGTCAACAAGTATAGAGTCCGAACTAAGCAAAACATCAGAAAGGCCAACGAATCAAAATAAAGAAAGGTCTGATGGTAAACTAAGAAAACAAAACATCAACACGCAGAACATTTAAAAGAATCCAAAACGGAACTGTGTAGCCAGAAATCAAGCGTTCATTCAAGTACAAAAGCAGCAAACAATACTCAAAGCTAGTTAAATCTTATCCCTATGATGATTCGATAAAAAAAAGAATTTGGTTTACCAGTCTAGATTAACTCTCCAGTCTTGCAGACATAAAAATGTGAAAGGAAAAGTTCCTATTCGACATAAAAAGAGCAACTTTCTAATAGTCCTAGTACCTAAAACAAGGCCATTGCAAGTGAATGACACTTAAGTAAACAGTTATTTTGCAAACCTCTGATTATGTATAGTGGCAGAACCTTGACCCAAATTCTTTGTTATTCTGCACCATTCATGTCTTTCTAAAGAAGACGATTTAATCTCAGAGCATATTACCATATCATTGCACCTAATCTCAATGTCTGCGAATCTAGTGTCGAGAGGAACTGCAAATTTGAACCCAAAAAAAAGTCACCCAAACATGAAATTGCATTAGTCTAAAAAGAAAGTGAATTTGTCAAATGGAATGTGATTGTGATACATAATCATCAACTGGAGAAATTACACCACAAGAAATCGAAAAAATTGCTTTGAATAGAATGAAATAGAGAAGTCACGAAGACTGACCCAGTTTAGCCCATGCCTCATCATCAGAAGATTTCGAACCAGAGGATTGTCCAGTTTCCGCGGTCGTCGTCATCGGAGTTTCAATTGCGAAATCTAACAAAAAGTGTTTACAAAAGGTTTATTTCGTCGCCGCAAACACGAATACAATTCCAAATACTGATCGAAACAAAGAGAAGAAAAAAGTTGATACAAACAATGTGAAGTTGTGGTGAAATGAAATTACCTCGTTTGTAGGAACAGAAACTGAGAATGGCCGCCGCGTTGGGGAGGAAGAAGATGATTTCGAAGAAGAGTGAGTGTGGTAGGCACGATGATTCCTCTATGGGTTTCTTCTCACTGTCTTTCTTCTATGAAGAAGATTGCTGAAGAAGAATCTTTTAAAAAAGGGTTTTAATTGGTTTTTGTGTTAAATCAAATGTGCACACACCGGAGAAAAGTACGTTACCGATTTGTCAAACCGGCGAATTGCGATTAATTAAAGAAAATTCTTATTTACAAAAAATAACTAAATAAATTAGAGAGCTTTTATCAATATTCCTTTTTCTTTAAAATGCTATAGGTGTAACATGTTAACATGTTATTATTAACGTGATACTAGCATACGGGCATTGCAAGTATCTTGATATTGCTATTGAGAATTAGTTGTTATAGAACATGATTCATACTTTGCATTCGGGCTTCTTCTACTTGCATTCGCTCTTCACCTCCCGCAGCAAATTCAGAAAAAACAATCAAAATCGTTTATCGCTTCTTCTAACTCCTTCAGCTTTAATGTTTTTTTTTTTTTTTGATAAATCCGATCGGCTGATCCGGTCAGCTCTGGGAGGATCGCACCAAAGTGCTACAATGTGGACTCGTCGCTAATACCTACGTGTTGGGCTACCACATCGCCTGAATCCAGATTAACGCTTTCCGACTAATGCCCGGGGGTAGTGGAGAATCGAACTCAGGTTATGGGAGTTGCACCCTTCCTCCAAGCTCCCTTACCACTAGTCCACCACCTCTTGGGCAGCTTTAATGTTTTAGTTGAGTTGATAGACCGAATTTCGGATTTAAAATTATGCTTTCATGTTTTTATCTTTTTTGTCATAAGACCATGTTTAAAGGTTATAAATTTATAATCATCGATGGTAAGCCTAAATTATTTTCATTTTTAATAAAATATTTACATTCTTAGCAAAAAAAAAAATTCATACTCCGGTTAGAAAATAAACAACTCCTTATAATCCATTGTAAACACATTACTCCGAACAATTTCTAAATGTATGTACATAATACTTTTGGTGCAGGATATTAAGCCAAAAGTTTCCGGATATTCGAATTAAAGATATTTGCGTATCCAAAAAAAATATTGGACATTTAGCGGTTATCGACAAACTGATTTTTTAGCTTTATCCTATAGGATTCTAAACTTTTCTACTCAAAAAACCCAAACTTAGCATTATCCTATAGGATTCTAAACTTTTCTAACCAAAAAACCCAAACCCGAACGGTTCCTACCTGAACTCAACCCGAGTATCTGAATGTCCAGGCCTAGTCCAATATATAAAACTGGAAAAATGGAAAGAAAGAAAGAATTAATTGTGTGCTCATACAGTAGTTGTAACATGACTCGTATCCGTGAAATGACCAAAAACATCATAACAAAGGGCGGCGATATATATATAACAACTGCCTTCAGTTTCGAGGTTCTATCACTTGTTATGTTTTTTACATGGAAGCCAGAAGACCTCTCATTTCAGTTACTCCAGGAACGTTTTCACTCGGGTAAACTTTGGCTACGAGCTGCACAAAGCTCTCATACTTGTCCAGAAACTCCTTCTGTTTAAGTTGACACAACAACACATTGATTCAAACATTGAGCTACACTGTTATTTATTACTCTCTTCAACTTTCAGTTTAAAATTGGTACCTTGCACTTATCCCACAATGATGGTAGCAACTCCTCCGATGCTAAATTCTTCTGCAACTTCTTATACATTGCTGCAATCGATTTGTCCACCTAAACAAAAAAGAGAAGATGTGGAAAGCTATATGTTAAAAGGTCTGTGATTCAATTGAATATACTCCAAGGAACATCTGTTTACCCCGGACAAGCTTGATTTTAACATCTTCCGGAGTTCCATTTTCGACAACCCAAGCTGGAATGGTATCTGAAATACAGAGAACATGTATCAGGTTTTTCTTAACCCTAGAACCCTAAAATAAAATGCTAACACATAGTTTACACAATGAGAAAGTGAAACTACTTACCTCTTCAGGGGTGATAGTATACATGAAATCCTCAATCTTTTTAGCAAACTGGAAAAGTCTTTCAAATTGCTGCAGGGATGAAAGAACACATGATTAACTCCATAAGAATAGAAAAAAGGAGAGAGTTATATACTATTCACTGCAAATAGGAAGCACCACGTACGTAGTAAATTATCATGCTAATGTGGCGTGTACAAGCTTGTTCATATGCTTCACTTGCCTGGTGATAGAACTTGGCTAATGTGGGTACAACATTAGCCAGGTCATACAGGCTGCACACACAAAAATTACAAGGTTAGGGAATATTGGTAGTCAGGAAAAAGAAGACAAACCAAGAGAGACAGAGGGTTAGAAAAAGACCTACCTATTTTGAAAAGCAGCATAATTTTCTAAAAGGAGAATATCTGCATATTTAGGATCTTGCTGGGCAATTTTCTCGAGGGTCACAAACATTATGCTTACCTATAAAACATTATGAGTCCGACTCTGTCAGCTAAAGAGGGAAAGAAAGAAAAGATTTTGATAATTGTAAATGTATAGACAATATGACATATGTTTTATAAATATGTTGTTGTTATTCAAGTCGAGAATGAATCAATTGTGGGTTTCCACATGTGAACTAATATCAGATGCAGAGGTTGGTTTTCTGTTACTGCTTGACTGACAAACAATTTCTTTGCTTCCATGATTTGTGTAATTTTACTGGTCAGTTGCTATAAACTCATAGACATAGCAGTACTCACAAATTTTGTGTATGCCTGATCAACCAAATCTCTAGATTGCCCTTGTATGTACTGTTCCATACGAGTCGCAAGTGCTGCAAATCTATGAAAATAAGACAATAATGTTAGGATAGCTACAAGTAATACTAGAACGATATGTTTGATCACTTAGTCCATCTGACAACAATCTAATAGGGAGAAATAGCTCAGAGGCCAAAAATTGAATGAAATTGTTTACAAGGTGGACGGAAATACTATCTGGTGGGGAAAGAAATAAGTTTCCACATAGCATTTTACTGTTTTTAACAATATGGACCTCCTGATTACCTTGGAATATATGGCAAGACACCCATCTGTCGTACATTACGTTCATTTCTTTCAATTTGGTGACAAGCTTCATCAACAAACTGCAGTTAAAAAAAAAATTGAATCGATGAGTAGGAATGGTATGTCAGGAATAAAAAATTAAAGAGTCTCTGAGTAGACAGACTACACGGCTGAATTGCATAGAAACCCTCGACTCCAGATCTCCAAGCAAAAGGCGAACAAATCCTGCAGCATCAGCTTTCTGACCAGACAGATAACGTTCCGTTATACCATGCATTGATATACACCGTAGAGGATCTATTTTATATGCCCAGTCAACAACAGCATAGAAATCCTCCTGCAGTGAAAATAATCAAGTCCCTTTAGTAAGATAAATGAAAGATGACTCCAGATTTTAACGTAGAAACCTTATTTTGAGGGACATCTTACCTGAATACCATCAAGTAAATCTTGAAGAGATTCATTCAATGCTGTCAGGTCTGGGGAAGTTTTAGCTGCAAAATTGGAAAATTTGTATGCTTTCAGAACCATTAGACCTCATAATACGAGGATGTAGCCAAAGCTTTACTGATGGTTGCAGTTTGGGATTACCAGTCTTCTTGTCAGTCTCATCAATGTCCATGATCCCCAAATCATCATCATCATTACCATCGTCATTGTTGGACCGGTTTTTATTATCAGTGCCAGCACCTCCAGGTGGAGCAAGAGCTGGTACCTCAAAGCACATAAAGTGCGCGAAAAAGGAACTCTGTAGTATGAAGCAAAAAAGAAACATGAGGATTTAGTACATACATCAGTTACATCTAAAGGCCAAACAGAAAATCATTGGGTTAACAATTACCTCATCTACAAGAAGCGGGATGAATATTGTTAGCATTTTGGCATAAGCATCTGACACTGCAGAGGTGTCAGTGTTTGCATTCTGACTAGAACCCGTCGATCCTTCTAGCCAGACAGTAGGATTTCGTGATACTTTTGTGCTTGCACGAAGCTCATTCGCGAATTCACGAGCCTGTATATGTTGAAGAAACAAATCTTTGGCAACTGGATATTTTGAAGAAAAAATGATTGCTGAATATCCACGCATTTTAACATTCAGTTCGTTTTTAGCAGCTTTAGTCAATTAAGAATCCCAGTAAATCTGTGGTCAAGTGGAGAAAATAAGGAATATTTGCTACTCACCTCTCGGCGAAGGAGCAAGTTTAGGGAGCTGCAGTATGCTTTTCTCAATGGCCCCAAACAATTCTTATCAAGACCCTGAAAAGAGAGAGGAGACAAGTTTTCAACGTACTGCATAGGGCATTTAGAATGTCACGTAGTCATTTCTCGGTTGTACCTTTAAATGTTGCAAAAGACGAGCATATGTTCTGCATTTATACCGTAAATCTGCGTGGTCAGGCCTCTTCAGCTGCCCTCTCTGTTTACAAGACGCGGCAATTGATATTCAGAATTAATCTTTACAATTCATACTGGAAAGATGAAAATTTTACAAAAGGAGTACCTGGGAAAAGTAGCTTTTGTCGCTGATCATGAAATCTACCAAACTGGCAAAGTAGTTTCTCAAGAACTCAGAAGCTCTCCTTACAAAAGTAGCTTTTAATTTTTCTAGTTCTGCTCTTTTCTCTCTTACCTGAAGAAAATAAAGCATGGGTGTCCCAAATTCAGGTAACTGTACAAAACCTAGATATTTCTATGAATGATTCAGACAATTAATTTTCTTTTTAAACCACTACATGTATTGTAATAAACCAAGCTCTCTTAACTGAAAAACATATATAAATAATGATGAGCGAATAAGAAAGATCTAAGTGCATAGTCATACAGCTCGCATATTAGCATAGATAGGATCTAAGTTGGGCACTTCAAGACCCCTTAAAGCTTTGGCTAACCACTCGCAAGCCTCGATATTTTGGAGCATGTCTGCTTCATCAAATGAGCCTCCTGTTAGGGACGCTGCGTACTGTAATCACACAACATTTTTATAAGCGAACCAAGAGATGAGAAGCAAGCACAAAAAAAACTCACATGTTTAAGATAATGTGAAACAAACCTCAGAAGGCACACGCAGTCTCTCAATAACTTTATCAAGTTCCTCAATGAGAGCTTTATTGTTTACAGACTGCATCTCTAGCTTGTTGTTTCGAGTTTCTATCTGGATACCACACAAGAAAGTGAGAATATGTGTTGACATATAAAGCTAATGATCAGTCCAGCAACACAAATACTTGAAATCAATTCTCTCTTTCTCTCGCAGTTTCCAGAAGTAATATGAAAGGCATAATCAGCCACAAATAATAAAACAAATCATCAGGAATGATCATTTAAAGGGAGTGAGTCCTACCGATTCAATATCTTCCCTCATGTGTCTAAGTTTAACGTTGAATATTCCTAACCATTCATCCATGTCATCAACAATATTTGTAGCTGCCTCTAGTCCATTCAAAACCTGAAAAAATGAAGATGAGCATATAAACAAAAAAAAATTAAACAGTGATCATCCCATCAACTGTTCATATACCAAGATAGTCTTCAGAATAATGATTAGCGAAACATGATTACCTCATCTACTAACGGTTCGCTTTCCAGAATTGCATGTACATTTGCTGCTTCAAGAGCTTGGAGCTCTCGCTTCAGCCTTTCAGAAAATGCCTCAGCTTCACCAATTCCCATTACATAACTGTATAAGTCAAATATATCAGTCAAGTGAACAAACTGAAAAAATAAGTGGAACAGATAACTGCTTCCACTATTTACTTATCCCCGGCAACCTAGTCTTCAGAGAGACAACGCCAATAGTATATGTTTAATACAATCAAGAGGAAAAATAAGGAAGTGGTTCAACAATAACTATGAATGCTGGACATACAAACAATTCTGCTTAGTCAGAAACCTAGTGCCATAAGCTTTAACTTAATGGGAAGGAGTCATGGGTTATTTACTCTTATGTCTTCAAGACAAAGTAGATAGTAAAAAGTCCTCCTTTGTAAAACATATACTATTGTTTACGTAAGAAAACAGGAGGAAATGCGTGAATAGAAAGGATTTAACCAAATGATGACAGGAAAAGAAAACGACATACGTTCCCAAAAGAGCCTCCATATCCTCTTCCTCGGCCTGTGAGACTAGTTCTTTCTCAACAGTAACTTTTAATTCGCTTTCTGTTACAGTTTCAGCAACAGGCTCACCATCTTCTGTACTTCTTTGAGTAGTGACTACTGGAGTGTTATCCTAGACCAATAATATGAAACATAAAGAAAAAGCAGATAAAATTATTATATGAAAAGCACTCACGTATCTGAAAGAGAAATGAGAATAACAAGTACATACAAACGCATGTTTTGAAATTAAGAGACTTAGACAAAAAACAGAAGACAGAAAAAGTTATAATCCGCACCTTAGCCCAAAGGGCCATCTCGACAATATCTATACCAACAACTTTGGGAAGGCGGCCTAATACGTCTTTGCATATGTTCAATATGCAAACTAAAAGTCGGTTCCTACAATCATGATAAACAAGGGTATGTATTTTGATGATCAAAACTATAATAACAAATATATCATTGCTTATGATCAATACTTCACATATTGTAAGAGTTAATGGATATTCCTAACTGCAGTACCTGTCATCAGTGTTGCGCATGGTCCACTGAGGAGGAGCAACACTTTGACTCCTGAGATTATCGAACCCCTAAAAGACTAAGCATCAGCAAAAGCAGGGGAGAAATGGAAAATATTAAACAGTATTTTACGGTTATGCATTCTTTTTTATGTTCCGTTTCTTATACTATATACTACAAATATCTCTTCTTGAAATCTTACATACACCACTTCAATAAAATCATTGAGTAATCTTACCAGGGTAAAAGTGCATCCACTTGGGTCATTAGTTATGACTTCCACCTTTGACAGATGCTTAAGTTTATACATTTTAGCAGGCTGGAACAACAAAAGAATTATAAAACATCATGTTCAATCTAAACTTCGAGAATATCAATCCATTTTTTTCTCTTCAAAATGTTAAACCCTGTGAATTTCTTGTGAAAGTGTGCCTCATTTAGAAAAATAGATGAAGAATACCTCAAGGACTCCTCCACTTGAATACTTCATGACTCGAAGAAATGCTTTCTTCCGTTGACCCTTCGATTTTACTGTAGAAAGCAGAATAAAAACGCATACTCAGTTGAATACAGCTCTTACGAACCTGATAATATCTAACAAGAATGCTTGAAACATGGATCCACGGCATCATATTATCCACTTGATACAGAACACAACACAAGTTCTCCCCAAGCACACTGCATTGTTTCACCTAATAGAGTAAACACTACGGAAATTTTTTCAGCTAACAGGAAAGCCTTTTTCAGCTCCAAAGAGTCTTGATATTGCCAAGAACAGTGAAATTAAAGGATTTTGAATTCCACAGATTCATTTCCATAGCTCCATCCCCAAATCATTCGTTCCTATGCTTATCTTAATACCAGTGGAAATCAACTTTGCGACTGTACAGGAAACAAAACTCCGATCTAATGCACTAGAATTCCAAACTTAAAGCTTAATTTAGGGAAGAAAAAAAAACCACGATCGAGTGATTGAAAGTGAAATGAATCCAGAAAATGAAATCAAATCTGAAAAATTGAGAAGAAGAAGAAGAAGGAATCACCGGAAAGAGCGAGAACCCTGGGTTTAGCCATTTGTCGACCCAATTTCCCAGACTTGCCCCAAACACCGCGACTCTTGGCGACGCGTATCGACATAACGATCGATTGTTTAGTCCCTTCGATCCCAGCCTCGCAAGCTCGCCGTAGCTCTTCATCGTCGGCGCTTGATTTCGCCATTGTTGTTGTTGCGCTTCTCTCTCGCTCTGCGGATCCAGCAAGGAGGGTGGTGACGATGACCGGTAAAAAGAGAACGAGAAATTTATTAGGCTTTACGACGGATTAAGAAAAATAATCTCTTTTGTTCCCATTTCAGTAATTATTTTCTAATTATACGTGGTAAGGGCAAGCCATTTTTTGAAAAACATAGTCCACTTATTTAACAATTTAATAGAGCATTATAATTTATTTTATTTTTTTGAAAAAAATAAATAAATTTTGCTGATTTGAGTGTTTTCACGCCCGGACCGATTAACCCGCGACTCGGGCATTTCTCTGATTTGGGTTTAGTGCTAAAATCCAGCAATTTCAAAACCGTAAAAACCCAAAAATACCCGCTATTAATCTGTGACCCGGTTGGTTCAACTAGTTCACCGAGTATTGGATCAAAAAATTAAATTATAATTTTAAAAATAATTATAAGTAAAATCTAAGATTTTAATTATTTTAAAACTCTTTTTAACTTTCTCAATCAACACACAACACATCATTTTTCGTAGTTCATCATAATTTTTCTATACATTTTATTTTTTCTCTTTTATTTTGAAAATTCATGGTTATCTGATGTTAAATATATATTGCTAATTGTTCATGTTTTGATTTGTGATGTTTTATTAGTGTGTTTTGTTTTTTATACTTTTTCTAGATTTGAAATATTTAGTCAATTTATTATTATTGTTATTAGTATTTATATTTTGTTAATTCATAAAAGTATATAATATATAAATAAATTTTAATTAATTAAACCGTGGTCGAATCCGGTCAACCTTAAGACCCGGTGATCCGGAAGCTAGTCCGGTTCACCACCATCCAGGTCGGGTTTAAAAACATTGAACGTGTCCATAATTACTAATTACAATTCAAGTAAATGTGTACGTGTCATTTTTATTTTTTTTTGAGTCAAAACGTATAAACTCAAACAAAACTTTAGAAAGCAGGAGTTATTGGACGTGTTCGGGAACTAGTCGCCGCGAGGATGCTTCGCAACCAGAAAAACACTCGTACTTTTCTTTCAGTTCTTCCTCTTTTTTTTTTTTTTTTTTCAATCTCTGCGACTTAAATTTCAATATTTCGGAGTGGTCAGATTAATTAGCGACAACACCTACACCAAAAAGAAAACAAATAATTATAATTGAGAATTGACAAAAATTTACATTTTACCCTTTAAAATACTTGTAATTACAATAAGCTCCTCCTACCGTTGCCAATCCTGGATTCCCACGAGATACCCCATATGTGTTTATCTTCACTGACCATGCTATCATACGCTCCATACGTACCGGTCCAGCAAACGAACTCCGGTTAGCTACATTCGCCTTTAACCCGATAACGACACTTGCCGTTACTTCCAAACACGTTGTGAGATTAATCAGACCGTTGTGGATTAATCAGACCGTTGTGAGTGAAATTAATATAAAGTTTCCTTTTTTCTTTTGAACATCTTAATTTATTTGTTCTCTCTACTTATCGCTCCTTCTTCTTCTTCTTCATTCTTCCTTGAAAGAGAAAAAAACTCTCTTTTTCTTCTTCTTCTTCTTCTACGTACCTACTATTTTTCTTCTTCTTCTTCTACGTACATACAGAGTTCACTGTGAATTCCGATGATGATGATGATGATCCATCCATGTAGAGAGAGAGAGAGACATATTGAAATCAAAGCAAACGAGGCGATATGATGATTGGTGATCCGTAAGGGTAAGTATTTATATCTTATCGTTTCGTTTTGTTACATTGATTGGATCAGAAATCAGATCGATCTCTTCCTCTGTATTCATCTTCTTCTTCTTCTACAGCCTAAATCAATATCGATTCATTGAATCTAGTCACCAGAGACTTAGGGCGAATTTCAAAACTCAAAAGTGAAAGAGAGGAATCGAGCGAGGTATTTCGTAATAATCTTCTTGATTTGAATATGAAACCTAGACTTTGTTATATACTCGTTGTGGATAGAGATGATTTTTGTGAATGGTTTAATTAGAGATGATGATGTTTAGTGTCTGAGAATGATGAATACCTAATTGTACAAATCAAACCCCATACTTTGTTGTGGATAAGACTAGGAAGTTGTTTGTTTGGATTCACACAGATAGCCTCGTAGAGAAGTTGCAACCATGTCTGTGTAGCATCTCGTCTTATTGCTAAACAACTAACGATTAGGGAAAAAGAAGTTGGTTACAACGTTCCCAGAACCGTGCTTAAGTAAGCAATGTCTCTCTTCTTTATAATCTTATTATGTACTTGTGGTCTAATCATGTGTTACTTAATATGACTATGTACTTGTTGACTGATGTTATGCTCCTCAAACTGATTATTCTCGATGATGTGCTCTTTGTTCTTCTCGGCTAACATTGTTGAGACTTCCCTAACTATAGATGGTGTTGTGTCTACATACGTCATTGAACCACGAAGAATTCGTGTTGAGTCATTGTTGGTAAGGCAGAGAAGAGTTGTTACAGGCTTTATACAGAGGAGTAAGCAAGTAATGACTTGCAGCCCTTGGATTCACCACATATGGCAAAGATGCTCATAGTGACTCCTCAATTCAATTGCTCAAACGAGATTATCTCTGTTTCATCCCTTGTCTCAGGTACGCCTTTACTTTTTTTATATTTATTATTGCTAGCTTTGGTTAGGTATTGAATTAAGGATAGGCTTAAACTTGCTACTAATTTCCATTCTGCAACTAGAACTCATATTTTTCTTCCATGTGTATATGATTACAGTATTAGAGTTAGGTGTTATCCCCAGCATTCTCTAGTCTGGGTTCTGCATACCCTTGGTTAGGGGTATATCCTAAGTAAGTGTTGATGCAGATAAATACTAGTTGCAGTTTCTCAGTTATTCTCTCTCATGTGGCAAATGGTATCAGTATCATCGCCTCTATGCATCTGCTGACGACCTATTCCATTGACCTCCTTTGTTATAAACACCAATTCTTTCTCTGCTTTATTCGGCTTAGAGAGGCTCAAAAAGCAGCAGATGCTAGGTTTGGACACATTGATGGTTGTCTACCATGCTTTTAAGCAAAACAGTAAGTGATTATCCCTTTTTCTTCCTCTTTTGTTTATAGCTCTGCTTTAGACAATTAAAATTTACTGTAACTAACTTGGTCAACGTAAATTTCTCACTCACAGTCGATGAAGATCCCAATTGGTGCTGTGAAAACTTGCATCAAAATCTGCAGGCAATGTTAGACGGTAGCTAGCCCGGATAATGTCAAGATTCAACTTGAAGAGGTGCAGCACTCATTTTAACTACTATATGAATGTAAGCAAGACCTCACTTAGAGCGCAATGGCCATTATTTGACAGCCAAAGACAACCAAGTCAGTTTATATTGTTGTTTCCATTTAAACATTGTTCTCTTATGTTCATCTCATGGTTAAAATTCTTGGTTGGCAGGTGGTTCATTTGCATCCATCAAATTTCTTGGATCACAAACCTTGGCGGGTAAGTTCTTTTCATATCTCCTCATGAAGCTTTGTCCTCGAGAAGCTTTGTAAGAAGAGAGAAAGGAACAATCATATCCTCATATGTCAACGTTTAAATCTACTTGGACAAGAGAAGCAATCCGTAAGAGGAGGATTAAATGGTGAATTGAGGTATTAGCATGTTCGTAATAATCATCATCTTTTAATTTGATTTGTAAATTAAATTTCTATGGTGTGTGTAACAAACAGGTAGCTGCTCCCTCTCATTTGTGGTTTTAAATATCAGAACAACCACCAAGTCGCCTCAGGATGCTCAAGAGTCAAGACATCACAGCCTTGTAGGTATACCATACACTTTCTTACCTTTTTTTTTGGTTTAATTAAGAGTAATGAGTTTGATTTTAAAATATACAATAAAAAGGAGAAATACCTCAAATAGCACTAAAATATGTTTTATGAACAATGCACAAACTCCATAAATTTCCAAAAATAGCACTAATTAACACAATTACAATATGCTAAATAATTTTCAAGAATTTTTTTAAAGGTTTGGGTTGATTATTTTACATTTAGCATATAGTTTTTTAAGGGGTAGGGTCGAATCTAAGATTTAATTTTGAAATATAGTGCTAATTTTGGGAAATAGGAGAGTGTGTGCTAAGTTTGGAAGAAAATTTTAAATTAGTGCTATTTGAGATTTTTTCACAAATAAAAAAGACAAAAAAATTATGTTTTTTCATTTCTGATTTTTATGATTCAATACTAAATATCAAGGTTTTCACCAAAGAATTTTCAAGTAACTAATTTAAAATTTTAATTTAACCAAATTTTTTTCTTATACTTGTTTCGTAAGTGTTAAATTATAATGCGTTGAAAAACAAACCGGACTTAGCATCCAGTCCCTTTGTGGTTCGTTAGTTTGGTGTAAAAGTTCAACATGTTTTTACGAATTGTAAATTTTACACGATTAGTTAATAAGTTTAAAGGTTTTTTATACTTTATATTTTTAACCAAAATTTTTTCATTATATATAAAATGTCTTAAATTATTAACTAAATGTTTTGGTTAGGCACTTTGCGATTTGCATATTACCCATTCCTATTCTTGATTTTGTGTATAGTTGCAATCTACATAGAAACTAACCATGTGTTCGATGAAGGCAAAAACATACTGTCAAATTGCAGATATCGTCACCCACCATAATCAAATTTCTAGCTTACAGTCCAAGAGTAACTACACAATATATTGTTCGCATCTTGAAGGGGGACAATTGGAGTAAATAGTTCACTGTTACATTTATTTAATCTGGTTAACTTAGTATACTTGTATTCATCAACTTGTAAAGATTTACATCTTTATATTTTTCATATATCTGATTTGTAATATACACCTTCTAACATGGGTTTTTTTTTATTATTGTTACATGAGTACACAAAAAAAAAATCTGAAATTTCTCTATGTACCTCATTTGAGAGACGACTTAGAAACAAAAATGCCACTTGCCTTTTTCTGATTGGTCAGGTACACTTTTTATAATTTAATTATTAAATTAATAATCTATTTATTAGATATTGATTAAAATATTATACTTTGAGAAACCCACTGAGACGTTACTGTTCGATGCTCTTATATGTTAATGTTTCACCTGTAGCCAAAGCACTAAAAAGTCAAAAAGTGTTTGATCTTCGGAGCACTCTAAAGTTTCAATATTTGGTTTTTGAGATTTACATATTTTCCCAGTTTAGTATTTGGTCACATTTTAATATTTCGTATGTTTATTAGGCTTTACGACGGATTAAGAAAGTTGAATAATCTCTTTTGTTCCCATTTCAGTAATTATTTTCTAATTATACGTGGCAAGGGCAAGCCATTTTTTGAAAAACATAGTCCACTTATTTAACAATTTAATAGAGCATTATAATTTAATTTATTTTTTTGAAAAAATTAAATAAATTTTGCTGATTTGAGTGTTTTCACGCCCGGACCGGACCTGCCGGTTAACCCGCGACTCGGGCATTTCTCCGGTTTGGGTTTAGTGCTAAAATCCAGCAATCTCAAAACCGCAAAAACCCAAAAAACCCGCTATTAACCCGTGACCCGGTTGGTTCAACTAGTTCACCGGGTCTTGGATCAAAAAATTAAATTATAATTTTGAAAATAATTATAAGTAAAATCTAAGATTTTAATTATTTTAAAACTCTTTTTAACCTTCTCAATCAACACACAACACATCATTTTTCGTAGTTGATCATAATTTGTCTATACATTTTATTTTTTCTCTTTTATTTTGAAAATTCATGGTTATCTGATGTTAAATATATATTGCTAATTGTTCATGTTTTGATTTGTGATGTTTTATTAGTGTGTTTTTTTTTTAATACTTTTTCTAGATTTGTAATTTTTAGTCAATTTATTATTATTGTTATTAGTATTTATATTTTGTTAATTCATAAAAGTATATAATATATAAATAAATTTTAATTAATTAACCCGTGGTCGAATCCGATCAACCCTAAGACCGGTGACCCGGAAGCTAGTCCGATTCACCATCCAGGTCGGGTTTAAAAACATTGAACGTGTCCATAATTACTAATTACAATTCAATTAAATGTGTACGTGTCATATTTTTTTTTTTTTTTTTTGAGTCAAAACGTATAAACTCAAACAAAACTTTAGAAAGCATGAGTTATTGGACGTGTTCGGGAACTAGTCGCCGCGATGATGCTTCGCAACCAGAAAAACACTCATTCTTTTCTTTCAGTTCTTCCTCTTTCTTTTTTTTTAATTTCAATCTCTACAACTTAAATCTCAATATTTAAATGGGTGTAAAGTGACACTTGCAAGATTCGAACTCACCATCTCTCATATATTATATGTGTAAACATAACCATTTTGCTACATTGATTATTATGTACAAAGTAAATTTTTAAACAATTTATAGGTTACTGGTGGCAGCTGCCACCACCACCTATAACGTAGGTCCGCCCCTGACAACACCTACACCGTAATTTTGAAATTGCGATCGTCGCTCGCTCCATTAAGTATAAAAAATTAGAAAAGGAAATTAAAGAATTTTAATTGAGAATTAACAAAATTCACATTTTACCCTTTAAAATACTTGTAATTACAATAAGCTCCTCCTGCCGTCGCCAATCTTGGATTCCCACGAGATGCCCCATCTGTGTTGATCTTCACCGACCATGCTATCATACGCTCCATACGTACCGGTCTAGCAAACGAACTCCGGTTAGCTACATTCGCCTTTAACCCGATAACGACACTTGCCGTTACTTCCAAACACGTTGTGAGATTAATCAGACCGTTGTGGATTAATCAGACCGTTGTGGATTAATCAGACCGTTGTGAGATTAATCAGACCGTTGTGAGTGAAATATAAAGTTTCCTTTTTCTTTTGAACATCTTAATTTATTTGTTCTCTCTACTTATCGCTCCTTCTTCTTCTTCTTCATTCTTCCTTGAAAGAGAAAAAAACTCTCTTTTTCTTCTTCTTCTTCTTCTTCTACGTACATACAGAGTTCACTGTGAATTCCGATGATGATGATGATACATCCATGTAGAGAGAGAGACATACTGAAATCAAAGCAAACCGATCCGTAAGAGTAAGTATTTATATCTCATCGTTTCGTTTCGTTTCATTAATTGAATGATCGATCAGAAATCAGATCGATCTCCTCCTCTGTATTCATCTTCTTCTTCTACAGCCTAAATCAATATCGTTTCACAGAGACGGTTTCACCAGAGACTAGCTAGGGCGGAATTCAAAACGCAAAAGTGAAAGAGAGGAATCGAGCGAGGTATTTCGTAATAATCTTCTTGATTTGAATATGAAACCTAGACTTTGTTATATACTCGTTGTGGATAGAGATGATGTTTATGAATGGTTTAATTAGAGATGATGATGTTTAGTGTCTGAGAATGATGAATACCTAATTGTAAATTAGGTTTATTTGTACTAATCAAAACCCATACTTTGTTGTGGATAAGACCAGGAAGTTGTTTGGTTGGATGCACACAGATAGCCTCGTAGAGGAGTTGTAGCCATGTCTGTGTAGCGACTCGTCGTGTTGCTAAACAACTAACTATTGGGGAAAAAGAAGTTGGTTAATGGTTACAACGTTCGTTTTGAAGTAAGCAATGTCTCTCTTCTTTATAATCTTATTATGTACTTTTGGTCTAATCATATGTTACTTAATATGACTAGGTACTTGTTGACTGATGTTATGCTCCTCAAAACTGATTATTCTCGATGATGTGCTCTTTGTTCTTCTCGGCTAACATTGTTGAGACTTCCCTAACTATAGATGGGGTTGTGTCAACATACGTCATTGAACCACAAAGAATTCGTGTTGAGTCATTGTTGGTGTCCCCGATTTCAGAGGCAGAGAAGAGTTTTTTACAGGGCTTTATACAGAGCAGTAATGACTTGCTGCCCCAGAACTATCCTGAAATACTTGGGAGAGCACTGCATCTGCATGATGAAGGTAACTTGACAATGACAGGTGAGATAATGAGTGATCAGTTCCCCTTGGATCCACCACATATGGTGAAGATGCTCAAACGAGATTCTCTCTGTTTCAGCCCTTGTCTCAGGTACGCCTTTACTTTTTTTTTTATATATATATTATTACTAGCTTTGGTTAGGTATGGAGTTAAGGATAGGCTTAAACTTGCTACCTATTTCCATTCTGCAACCAGAACTCATATTTTTCTTCCATGTGTATGATTATCATTTAGAATTACAGTATTAGAGTTAGGTGTTATCCCCAACAGTGTCTAGTCTGAGTTCTGCATACCCTTGGTTAGGGGTATATCCTAAGTAAGTGCTAATGCAGATAAATACTAGTTGCAATTTCTTAGTTATTCTCTCTCATGAAGCAAATGGTATCAGTGTCATGGCCTCTATATGCATCTGCTGACGACCTCTTCCATGGACCTCTTCTGTTATATAAACACCAATTCTTTCTCTGCTTTATTCGGCTTAGAGAGGCTCACAAAGCAGCAGATGCTAGGTTTGGACATATTGATGATTGTCTACCATGCTTTTAAGCAAAACAGTAAGTGATTATTATCCCTTTCTCTTCCTCTTTTGGTTATACGTAGCTGCTTTAGACAATTAAACTGACTTGGTCAATGTAAATGCTCATAGTCGATGAAGATCCCAATTGGTGCTGTGAAAACTTCATCAACAACAGAGCAATGAAATCTGCACATAATGTTAAGACACTAGATAGCAGCTAGTCCAGATAATGTCAAGGCCATGCTTGTCGGTTATATTTCATGCAAGTGCCTCACTTAGAACGCACTGGCCATTACTTGACAGCCAAAGACAACCAAGTTTGTCAAGAAAAAAATCAGTTTATATTGTTGTTTCCATTTAAACATTGTTCTCTTATGTTCATCTCATGGTTAAAATTCTTGGTTGGCAGGTGGTTCATTTGCATCCATCAAATTGCTTGGATCACAAACCTCGGTGGGTAAGCTCTTTACATATCTCCTCATGAAGCTTTGTCCTCGAGAAGCTTTGTAAGAAGAGAGAAAGGGACAATCATATCCTCACATGTCAACGTTTAAATCTATTTGGACAAGAGAAGCAAAGAGGAGGATTATATGGTGAATCGAGGTATTAGCATGTTCGTAATAATCATCATCTTTTAATTTGATTTGTAAATTAAATTTATATGGTGTGTGTAACAAACAGGTAGCTGCTCCCTCTCGTTTGTGGTTTTAAATATCAGAACAACCACCAAGTCGCCTCAAGATGCTCAAGAGTCAAGACATCACAGCCTTTCAGGTATACCATACACTTTCTAACTTTTTTTTTTAATTAAGAGAAATGATTTTTTATTTTTAAATATACAATAGAAAAAAAGAAAGAGAAATACCTTCAAATAGCACTAAAATATGTTTTATGAACAATAATAGCACACTTCCATTGATTTCTAATAATATCACTAATTAACAAAATTACAATATGCTAAATAATTTTTAAGAATTTTTTTTAAGGTTTGGGTTGACTATATTACATTTAGGATATAGTTTTTTAGGGGGGTAGGGTTTATTTTTTTGAATCTAAGATTTCATTTTGAAATTTTAATTTTGAAATATAGTGCTAATTTGGGAAAATAGGAGAGTATGTGCTAAGTTTGGAAGAAAATTTTAAATTATTGTTATTTTTGAGAATTCCCACAAATAAAAAAGACAAAAAAAAATTATGTTTCTTCATTTCTGATTTTTATGATTCAAAACTAAATATCAAGGTTTTTTACCAAAGAATTTTCAAGTAACTAATTTTAATTTTTAATTTAACCAAATTGTTTTCTTATACTTGTTTAGTAAGTGTTAAATTATAATGCGTTGAAAAACAAACCGGACTTAACATCCAGTCCCTTTGTGGTTTGTTAGTTTGGTGTAAAAGTTCAACATGTTTTTACGAATTGTAAATTTTACGCGCTTAGTTAATACGTTTTAAGGTTTTTATAATTTTTATTTTTAACCAAAATTTTTTCATTATATATAAAATGTGTTAAATTATTAACTAAATTTTTGGTTAGGCACTTTGCGATTTGCATATTCCATTCCTATTCTTGATTTTGTGTATAGTTGCAATCTACATAGAACCCAATCATGTGTTTGATGAACGCACAAAACATACTATCAAATTGCAGATATCGTCACCTACCCTAATCAAATTTCTAGCTTACAGTCCAAGATGAATTACAGAATATATTCTTCGCATCTTGAAGGGGGACTATTGGAGTAAATAGTTCATTGTTCCATTTATTTAATCTGGTTAACTTTTTTTTTTTTTGTCATCATTACAAATTATACGTCTCTCTTTGAGAGGGACCATACTCGAACCCGGATCTGGTGAGAAGGCAACAGAGGTGAGAACCACTAGCCCACTTGTCCTTCTCTCTAGTTAACTTAGTATACTTGTATTCAAATACTTGTACATATACATATACTTGTACTCAAATTCTCTAATAATATGATGAGTATGAACACTCAAATTCTCTAATATGGATGAAAGCAAAAGAGTTACATTACATACTTGTATGGTGTTTATAACATTACATACTTGTAAAGATTTACATCTTTATCTTTTTCATATATATGATTTGTAATATACACCTTCTAACATGGGTTTTTTTTTATTATTGTTACATGAGTATACAAAAAAAAAATCTGAAATTTCTCTTGAGAGACGACTTAGAAACAAAAATGCCACTTGCCTTTTTTTAGATTGACCAGCTACACTTTTTATAATTTAATTATTAAATTAATAATCTATTTATTAGATATTGATTAAAATAGTATACTTTGAGAAACCCACTGAGGCGTTACTGTTCGATGCTCTTATATGTTAATGTTTCACCTGTATCCAAAACACTAAAAAAATCAAAAAGTGTTTGATCTTCGGAACACTCTAAAGTTTCAATATTTGGGTTTTGAGATTTACATATTTTCCCAGTTTAGTATTTGGTCACATTTTAATATTTCGTATGTTTACCATTAATTTTTAATTAATCGTATAAAAAAACAACCAATAAGAAGATAACACGTAGTATGAGAGGGTGTAATGAGATATTTAGAGGCCTACAGAAGATACTGTTTTTACCTCCTCTCCTCTTTTTTCAGCTTTTTGGCTATTTATTAAATTTTTAATGTTTAAGATATTTCTTTGAGTTAACTGGAGATGCTCTTGTATATGCTCATTCTAACTTCATATTCTCTTTTTCTCTTTTCTCTAAGCATAACATTTTACTTCCTAGAATATTATCATTTCCTCTCTTCTTTCTCTTCATTTTTTCTTCTAAAACTTTTTTTTATCACAAATTCTCTACCACTTCATCAACATATCCTCAACCTCTTTGTTTATCGTAAAGGGTGTTATCTAGCAATCAAAATTAGGTAACACGACCATAACAAAAATTCATGCGATATATTTGTTCAGTCTTTCTACATCCATAGATATACCACATCAAAGATTGAGAGTGTTGAGAACTAAGAATCATCCTAATAGGATAAGACTATAAAAAGAGAGATAAAATTGTTCTTGAAAATTAATTTGCTCACAAGCCCGATAAGAATTGAAGATATGGAGACCATGAGAATTTAGCTAAAGCTGCATTTCCCAATTTCCCACATCCATCCGATTTGATACCGTCACTAAGACATAAATATATTAGTTCAGGAGAGTTTAATTAGAGAAGTAAAATGGAACAAAGATGTAGATATATGTGTATTGTCTTCACACTAAATGTATTATTTTGATGTAAATATATGTGTAGTAATTATAGTGTTTTATTTTCAATAAATATACTTGTACATGTAATTCATATTTTTATTTTATTTTTCATTTGAAAAAAGATATATATTTTCTCCAAATATATTCTTATTAAATCTATAAAATATTGGGGAGAATAATTATTTTGTTGTATTTATCTTGATTTTTATAAAATTTTACAGAAATATGTAAGAATTTTAAAAAGAAGGTAAGTAAAAAAAGACTTCTAATGAGAAAATTCAATATGTAAAAAATATGTTAGATATATATAGTCATTTCTGAAAGAGAAAAAAAAAACAATAGAAAAATGGATGTTTTCTATTTTTTATTCTGATTAATTATTATTATATTTTTTTATCAATTTTCATAGATCTTTTCTATTAGTTAGTTTTAAAATTTATTAATTTTCGTAGATCTTTTCTATTTGATTTTTCTGATTTTTAGCCACTTCCGAAATCTATGTTTCTATTTCCAAAATCTACATTTTGCATGCATCTAATTTTAGGGGGATTTGCACAGATAACATTTTTATGATACTCTTTTCTACAAATACCCTTTTCAATGTACAAAATGATTAAATTACCGTCATTTAGTATAACCCATGATGAATATCTATCTTAACATTTTTGAAGTACATTTTGTACTAAAATCTATTTTGGGTTATTTTTATTTGGTACTATTTGCATAATCAAACTCTTGCCATTTGAATAAAAACCACTTGAAAATCTTTTTAAAATCCAGGTAAATCCTTTAAAAACTGTTATAAACTTATAATTTTTTTAAAAATCATTGTATAATCCTTTAAAAACCATTCAAAAACCTTTGTAAGCTTCTAAAACTTTTGAAAAAAATTTGGCGAGGAAAATTTTTGTAAAATTTTTTTTTTTCAGGAAATTTTTGTGGAAATTTTTTTTTGGCAAGAAAAATTAGGCGGAAAAGTTTTTGGCGGAAATTTTTTGGGGGAAAATTTTTTTGAAGGAACATTCTGGTCAAATGAAGGAATATTCTGTTTAATAGAAGAAATTTTCTGTTTAAGGGAAGAAATATTCTCTTCAAATGAAAGAATATTCTCTTGAAAGGAAAGAATATTCTTTCAATTAGGGGTAAAATGACAATTAAAATTTAAAAGAGGGCAAAAATGAATATGACAAAAAAATGGTAGTTTTGCAAAAGGATATCATAAAAAAAAGTTATCAGTAAGAATTTCTCCTAATTTTTCTTATATATACATTATTCACACACATGTACATTACCATTATCTTCATCATCTTCTTTTGTTACTCTGAAGTTTTCATTTCGATTGTCTTATCCAAAATGTCTAAAGCCACCGTTATTGCTATCTTCATGGTTGTACTTGTTCAAGGTTAGATTTATACTTTAACGTATCAATTATCATACGACTAGACTAGTATTCTAAAATATGAATTATTATGTGTCATCACTTTCATTTGATAGTTTTCTTTTATCAATTACAACAAAAAAAAAACAAATTTGAGATCTATAATCTTCAATACATTTTAACTAGGAATGGTGACGAAGGAGACGCAAGGGGATACATGCCATCACTACCTTAGAGAATCAGAGCCATGGATATGTGATAGTGTAGGCTGTGCTGCAGTGTGTACTTCGAAGCACCATGGGAAAGGCATGTGTATCGATCGGGCGACATGCGTTTGCACTTTTAGTTGCTCAGTTTGATTTTTCTGTTTCTTTCTATGATCTATGTATTGTGTGATTGAACAATTATTGGTTAATCAAGAAGTTTAACTTGGTAAAACCATCCTAAAGTTTCAAGATAAGACTAAAACTAACAAACCCTCTAACAACAATCAGAGAGAGGACTCGTTAACTTTAGGCATGAAAATAATCCAAAAAGAGAGATTACAATTGTTCTTAGAACATTTGAACATGACAAAAAGAAAAGAGAGAACTGATGATCCAACGTTACGCCAAGCGTTGATCACTCTCGCGCTGTTCCTCCCCATCTCTGAACCCGACTCTCGGCTTGCTCGGCCTGCGGAAATTTAGAGCTAAAGATATGATCAACCAAACACAAATGAGAGGAAACATAGCAGAAATAAAGAGACCGAAGTAAGAGACCTCTTTGTTCCAATTAGTGTAGTAGATGATTCCAATTAATATAAGTGTTTGCAAACAGATTCCAGCTACCATACCTCCCCATATTCCCTACAAAATTTCATAAATCAATCAACACCAAATTAAAAAAAAAAAAAAACAATGCAAATACAAAATGGTCATAACCCACTAAAGAGATCTTATAGTAGAGACTCAACAAACCAAACTAAACTGTACATAAATCTAACCTGAACACCAAAGTCTAGTGTGAATCCAAGAATAAGACCAGCAGGAAGTCCGATTATGTAATAACACGCAATGTTAACGTACGCAACCAGGGCTTGCCACCCAGCTCCAACCGCAACACCTAAAATGATGTACCAAAAGTGATCACAACTCAATGCTTTCTGATCCTAAATTGCTTTTTGATTATTGTGGTACCTGACAAGACGGGCTGGAGGCTGTTCAAGAGGACAGTGAAGCCCAACAAGACGGCTATTCTCGTGGTTTCTGCTGCCACGGCTTCGCTAGAGGTGAAAAGGTAAGGGAAGCTGTTTTTTGTGGCTAAGACAACAATCATGCACACAATCCCGATAAGAGTTGAAGTTATGGAGACGACTATCACTGAGAATTTCGCTAAAGCTGCATTTCCCGCACCCAGCTCGTTCGATACCCTCACACTGATCACACCAAGAGACAAAGTCATGGGAGTTCTAATGTGGCTCTAGAGAAATGAAATGAGACAAAAAGGTAAAAAAACTTACCTTATCGCAGCGTTAAACCCGATCGAAATCATCGCAGTCCACCCTTCTATGTTCATGCTGTGAAGCACAAAACATAAAAACAAAGGTTACTAAAGAAACCTATTTTCAGGGAGAAACTAACCAAAGATCAGCACAAATGAATTACCAAATGGAGATGGCATCGACTGGTATCAACGGATTAGGAAGGAGACCGGTAACAACGACCAGAACCATCAAGTACCAAAACTCCAAACTACAAAATACAAAGAACAAACCTGTCATTCTAATCCGAAACCTTAGCTTACATAATTCAAGCAATATACTAGCTCAAAATGAAATGGTACCAAAGCATAAGAGCAGAGGCTAAGGAAAGTTTGACAAATCCGTAGAGGTCTCGAAACGCCAGCAGAGAAAATCCAGTCCACGCACCGTCAGATTTGGTGATTAAGATATACAAAAGCTGACCGATAACAATCAACCACCACGAGGTATTGAGAGTGATGGCCGCACCTACAAGCCCCCACTTAAAGTAAAGGATGAAGAGCCAGCTAAAAACTGCGTGTATAACCAAAACTGCCCCAGAGATCCAAGCCATCACAAGAACTTTCCTCTGTGACTGCAAGAATTTCTGTATCGGGAAGTTGGCTGCATAGGCAAATAGTTGCGGAATCATCCACAGCGCGAATTTCCCTATAAATTTAAACTTGAAAAAAGATTAGCATCTAAATATTGTTACCATGTCATGGGCTTCCATCTCAAAACCAATCGACATAACGCAATAAAAAGAATGATACCCGCGGCTTTAGA